ATACCCAGTGGGGGGTGTGCAGGAGGCAGCTGATCGGTGTTTCTCTCTCATCGATGTTTCTAACTCCCTATCCCTCTCTCTTCCTCTCTGTGAAAAATCAATAAAATATATTTTAAAAAAAAGGGGGGGGGGCGTTCAGCATTCTGGAGAAAGGGGCTGATGTGTAGATTCAAGGAGTCCAAAGATGAAAGATTTTGAAAGGCACTGGGGGTCAGGGGAGCTTTAGCTAAAGGAACTTAAGACTACCCCTTGTCTAAGGACCCCGTGCTATTTATTACCACAATTTGTCCTGAGGTGGAGACATACACTTCAAAGGGTAGGGTATCAAAGGATATCGTCAGATTGGGGAATAGCCTACAGCTGTTCAGGTGTTTGGCCAACAGGAGGCAATAAAATGCTCTGAGCTGTCTGGCAGCAAGCAGTTATCCTATTCAGGTTTGGGGGAAGTGCCATTTAGCCGTTTCAAGCAGGTAAACTACATATGTGGCTCACCCTTGTTGAGCCCCTCAAGCTTCACCAACCTTTTGGTGAAACTCTTGTCATTATCACATGCTGGAATTGGTTCCCGGCACCCTAGGTGTGGTTTATTTACAATAGATGGCGAGTTCTGATGTTTCTACATGTTCTTCGTCCTTTGAGTCTTAGAACTTGACCCCCGGGTGCCCTCCTGCTGGGTCGCTGGCCAAACAGCCTTCCCTTCCCTGGGGGTCTCGGCAATCCACAGGCCACACGCAGGCTGGAGAACGGGAGGAGCCCTCACCAAACACAGCTCCGCAGTGGGAAAGTGAGGAGTGCTGTGGAGGGGTGAGTGAATCCCTTGAGGAAGGGAGCTGCCCTGGTCAGCCAGGGTGCCAGGGTCTTTGGGGTCAACATCCACTAAAATCACTAATAACACAAGTTAGAGGCCTGGGATGGGTCGCCCAAGGAAGCGTGAATTATGTGCACATCGTGTCAGCACAATGCAGTGGGGTTTGGGGAGCACTCCGGGCCCCGGGCAGAGTGATGGGGACACAAAAGTGAGGAGCACGCTCTAGACAAGACAGATGCCCCAGAGGTGCCCGCTGTCAGCGTTCATCCCGAAGCCCCACCACTTCCTGTGAAAGTTCTGGAACCTCCATTCCCTCACCTGTAAGAGCGCGAAGAGGACGTGCCCGGCTCCTCTGCACCTTCGACACTTCGACGCGCCCCTAGCGTGGCCTCTGCGTTGTCTGTTGCTTCCTAGGCTTGTTTTTTAGGATTCTACTTCTCCGTCACGCTAGCCTTTACACGCCTGCCTGCCCATTTGGCAGCAGCGTCTGCACAGCTGCCTGGAACCCAGCGTGGCCTCCAGCGAGGAGGAAAACTGGGAAGCGTGGCCGCTGCAGCGACATCTCACCCTCCCACTAGGGGGCAGTGCAGGACCGTCAGAAGGGCGGCGGGGACTGGTCCTAAATCCCACCCGGGAGCTGAGTGCCTTGGAGCAATTCTACCCTTAATCTCCCTAAATCCTAGCCTCCCCACCTCCCATCTCCCAGGATGGAGAGCGGGAGGACACCCCCAATACCATTAAATTCCACAAGAGAAAAGCTGACCCCCAGTGACCACTGTCATCCATCCCACAGGATCACTAGCAGGTGAGGTAATTGTACAACGTGCCCGGCACGTCTACAGTAGATGCTCAACAGCTGGGTACTCCTGCTCCTGCGGGAGCCTGGGTGACCCTGCACCCAAGGGAGATTTATTCAGTAATGTCTGGAGACATAGCTGGGGCCACACTTGGGGGACTGGGTGCTAGTGGTGTCTAGTGGGTAGGGGCCGGGGACGCTGCTAACCGCCCTGTCACGGACAGCCTGACACAAAGAATGGCCCGGCCCACAGTGTCAGCGGCGCCAAGGCCGAGAAACCCTGGCTCCTCCCGGTGGACGTGGCGCTCCTGGAGGCCAGAAAACGGCGGGTCCATTTCTACGTCTTCCTCAGGGCCTGCTGTGCAGCGGACAGTCAACAGCCGAGGGTAGGACTGACTTGAAAGGCCAACAGTGGCCAAGAGGGTGGCACAGATATGGGGGGTGAGGCCCGTGGGTGGCAGGACAAAAGGCCTAATTGTTCCAGAGCGGGGTCACGTGCCTAGCTGCATGGGCACGGGCTTCCAGAGAGAGGAGCTGGATTTGCAATAACAGAACTGCTTCCTAAGCATCCTCACCGGATCGCGTTACATGCTGGCCATCGAGGGGACCCGTTAAGGGCTTTGTAAAACCGAGTACCCCCTCCGGAGCCTGTGCCCCAGGACGTGGTCACGGTGAACTGGGCCTGGATTGGGCGATTCCCTGTCCCCTAAAATCTCAAGGACGTCCCTCCCACCTCCAGCCGCACGCGAAGGGCTTGGTGCCTTGTGAGTGCTCGGGAGGCACCAGCCCCTGCTCTGGCCAGCAGCACTGAGGTCACTCCTTCCCGTCCCTGGCCTCGGCCTCCCCATCTGACACGGAGGCTGACAGCCAGCCCACAGGGGACAGAGGCAGAGTTCACGGTGTCCATTCCCGCCATCTCTGGGATTCTCCTTAGAAAATACCCAGAGGCCCTCCCCAGGACAGACCAGGACCCACAGGTCCCAGGGGAACCGCCAGGAGGCCCCCCACATCCCACGGCTCCAGGCGCCATCGCCGCCCATGTCCCTGGTCAGCTCCCCGGTCAGCTCCCCAGGAGAGAGGGCTGGTCCTGGAGGCTGCCGTCTCCTCCTGCCTGACGGCTGATGACAGGACCAGCGCTGTCAACCCAGGTCCAGCCCTGTGCTGCCATCAAGGGGCGGAGTCTAGTGGGTGGAGGCCGGGGATGCTGCAAACATCCTGAGGACCCACCGGCTCAGGAAGGAAACGACGGAGGGGGACGCATTGGTCTTGATGCCCCAAGAGCACGGAGGCCGCCTGGGGAGAATGGCTGCCTCTTGGTAGAGGCACCCACGTCTTCATCTAGACCCCCCAGAAGTCCCAAGTCCGCTTCCCCTTCCTTCTGCCCAGACCTCCCCTTTCTCAGTGTATCTCCATCGGTGGGAGGGAAGGCTGCCCCCTGGTGCTGGTGGAGGTAACTGCACCCAGCCCTGGGGAGGCCCGCCCTCCACAGCAAGAGTGGCTTCAGCAAGACCAGAGCCACCCACCCACTGGTACCCTCCCTGCCCAGAGCATCCCACACCAGCCACACATGCGCACGCTGCAGACTTTGCAGATGTTTTTATTATTAATATTATCTTAAACATCCCTTTAAGGGTGAAATGAAATCCAACCATTTACAGAGAAAATGATTTCAGAATGTACATATTGATTTTCCCTTACAAAAGAAATAATGGTGTCCTTAAATTATACCTTTCCCAGGGCCCTGTCCCTGCTTGGGCAAGTCCTGCCTCCCCACCCCGATGGTCACCTTTGCCCGAAGCTCCCCACACCGTCCCTGGGACCGGACCGGACATGACCTGGGGCGGCTGGGCCTCCTGCAGTCACCGGGCAGGTGGCACAGGGCAGGCTATCTGGTGCACAGTGTTCACATTCACAGTTCGGTTTCCCTTCTATTGGGGGAGTGGCCCAGGGCTCCCCGACCCCCCAAATTCCCAGTGTATGTTGTGACTATAATCGAAACTCTTCAACCCCATGCTTCGGCCCCACCCCTCTGACAGCTGCCATCTCCATCCCATGGCCAGGCTGCCACATGGCAGAGACCACAAACAGCCCTCGGGGTCTACGGAAAGGCAGGGCTCGCTGTCCTGGCTCCGTCGTCTCCGAGCTGGTGAAGTGGAGGCCGCCTGGGAAGCAGCATTCGCAGTCGCAGGCGGGCCAGGGGCGTGGGGTAAGGGAGCTGGTGAGGAGGGGGTTCCTGGGCTGGGACTCAGGCCTGACTCAGGAGCCCTGACACTGCCTGTCCGGGGGTGAGCAGGCTGCTGGCTCTGAGCCACGTCTCAGCCCCACGCGGGATCAGAGAGGGCGGCTGCTGGAACTCGGAGGGAGGAGGGAGGAAATAGAGACCCTCAGCCTCTGCATTCCTGCCCACCAGGGGCTGCTCCCAGGCCACGCCCACCCCGGGACTCCCCCAGACAGAGCTGTGGCAGAGGGGCACCCCCTCTCTGGCTGTCAGGAGACACTCAGAGAAAGCCCTGCTGGGGGCCGGAGGGCAGAGTGGGAAGATGTGGTGGGGCCAAGAGTGGCTGGAGGTAGTGGGCGCTCAGGTCAGGAGGATTCTCATCTCTTGGACTGAAAGACAGACAGACAGACGGACCCTGCATCCCTCAGCCTTGTTTCCAGGCTCCCCACGGGCTTTCTGCCTGGCATTCTGGGGAGCTGCAGGAGGTGTGGCCACAGGCTCCAGATCCCGGGAAGCACCTGGGCCCTGCTCCCGTATCCACACACAAGCATCTATGTACAGGGACACACCGACACAGACACATACAAGTACACACAAGCATGCACCCATGCCCATAAATACACACACGCGTACCAACATGTACCGTCCCACAGGCAGCCTCTGCCTCCTGGCATCTCTGTGAGCATCCAATGGGGCCTTGGAGAGGGGGTGTCTCGTCCTCCCCATGACTGCAGGCCCCCCTGCACTCCAGCCCTGGCTGGCAGTGAGGGGGCAGGAGCAGGTTGTTCCAGGGGCTCCGATGTGAGAGGAGGATCTTATGACTCTTCCCCACCCCCTGCGCCAGAGGTGCCCCGGCCCCCGTGGCCACCCTCCCGCCTTCCTCTAAGAGGAGAGCCGAGCTGACGGGCACGTGGAGGCCCAGCTTCCCTTGCAGCTACGGTGGACACGTGACTAAGTGCTGACCAGCGAGATGCGGCCAGCAGCAGCTGTGCCGTCCCTGGCTCACACGTTAACAGGAAAGGGTGTGCACTCCCGTGTTTTTCTCTGCTTCCCCCAGGCCCGGACGCACGTGATGGCAGGAAGTGGAGAACCACTCTGTCCGGGACTGGAAGGGGGGTGTGAGGAAAGCAGAGCTGCCCTACTGACCGGCCCCCTGGACAGTTAAATTAGACACAAGCTTGTCTTGCTTAAAGCACTGTATTTCGGGGTCTCTTCATTACAGCAGCTTAGAACCTACTTTAATGAATACGTCTCCCGCCCCCGTGGGGCAGACTAAGAGGCGAGAGATGTCACAGAACTGGCCTCAGTGGCTCCCGGGCCCAGGGCAGCCTCAGGGCTCCTTTCTGGCCTCTAGCCAACACCAAGAAGGGGACAAGGGTTACTCCACCAGAGACAGTGGAGGGCTGGGGCTGAGGATTCCGGCAGAAAGGGGTGTGGGGCACCCCCATGTCTGACCCCCTAAGCTGGCTGATGTCCCATCCCACCCTGAGAACTGGACCCCTGGCCTTAGAGGACCAAGTGGGAGCCCACTGGACAGAAAGAGAAACGTAAGAAGGAACATCAACCAGGTTCAGAACTGGGAGGACTCCCGGGCCCCGGCCTATGTTGGCTCAGGAGCATCTGGGGCCCTGAGGGGAGGCGGGTGGAGGTTCACGGCTCCTGCCCAGCACTTCCGAGGACCCTGGCTACCTCTCAGCTGGATGCTATTCTATTCCCTCCTTTCCTGGAATCCCGCTTCCTCCTGCACCCCAATGCAACTATTTACAGAGCTGGGGACCTCCTGGCAAGCCCTTCCCACCGCAGGGCCAAAGGCTGGCCTCTCCCAGCAGCCCAGCTCCCGGGCCACCGGGAGCTCCTCCAGCCCCCCACCCCCGCCCCTGCTTCCCGGTTACCATCATGCGCTGTCCGCGGAACCTCCTGGCACAGCTCCTTGGAGGGCGGAAGGGTCAGGGTCCCCTCTCAGCATGAGGAATGCCGGTTTCTGAGGTCACAGGCCTGATCCCTGATCCACAAGGGCGTGCACAGGGAAGGTTCTCCCACGCATCCGCTTCCGGTCCCCTCTCCTCGGACCCCGGAGGACAGGGGGAGGCAGGAAGACCACAGGAGGGCGGCCGCACCCCTGCCCTGCCCCTGGCCGCGAACGTCAGGCACCCTTAGCCTTCCACCGCCTCCGCCTTGGCCCTGGCGGGGGGCCTCCCCTCGCCGCCCCTGCTCCGCGGCCCGCCCTCCGCCGTGCTCCTGGGGCCCTGGTAGGGGTTGTCCAGCAGGTAGCGGAACCGGTGGTAGTTCTGCAGCAGGTACTTGGGGGCGTACATGTGCTCGCCGGGGTCGGCGGGCGGGTACTCCTGCTGCGTGCCGTCGAACCAGCCGCCGGTGCGGATCAGGCTGCGGATGTAGTTGAGGTCCCGCTTGTCCTCGTAGTCGCCCCAGCGCGGGAAGTCCCCGTTCTGGGCGGACACGAGCTTGAAGTGGATGCCCTCGGGGGTGAAGCACCAGGAGCAGTGCCAGCCGGCGAAGTGCAGGGGGCTGCCCAGCGACCACTGCACCAGGATGTGGCCCGTGCGGTTCTCGTACTGCCGGAAGGCGGGCATGGTGTAGTACTGGCGGCGGCGCAGGCGGATGCCGTCCAGCCCGTACACCGAGCGCAGCATGTCCACCGTGCAGCCCGACACCACCTCCAGCGTGCCCGGCTGCTTCCAGAAGAAGCCGTACAGCGACTTGCGCATGTGGAAGGCGAAGGGCTCGGTCCAGCCGTCGTAGAGCTTGAGGAAGAGCACGCCGTCGCGCGCAGGGATCTCGTCCGCGTCGTCGATGATGAACACGTCGTCCGGCCGCAGGTTGCGCAGCCGGGCCACGCCGTCCTGCGTCAGGAAGGTGCGCAGGTAGTCGTCGGCGATCCAGCCGTCCTGCCGGCCGCCCGGCGGGAAGTGGTCCAGGAAGACGTACAGCACCTTGTGCCGGATGTACTCGAACGTGCCGTTGCTGAGCATCTCCCGGAACTTGAGGGGCCGCGGCTCCCCGTAGGCCGTGAAGTTGGACTCGCACACCACGAAGGCGTCCACCACGTCGCCCAGCTCGTGGAAGCGCACGTCCAGCAGGTCGAACTCGTGGTTGATGTTGATGGCGTTGATGACGCGCCGCGGCACCTCCCGGGGCACCAGGCGCTCCTTGGTGGGCAGGTTGGAGTACTGCACCACGGTGGGCACCCCGCAGCTGGGCCCGTGCCAGCCCGGCAGGCACACGCACTCCACCCACTTGCGCCGCGGGCCCCGGGCCCCCGCGCGCTCCCTGGTGCTCAGCAGGTGCCGGGCGGGGCCCCTGGCGGACGAGCCGTCGCCCCCCTCCGTCTTCTCCTCCGGCCGCCCCGACGGCGGCTTCTCCAGCACCTTGGTGCCCGGTCTGAAGCAGACGCCCCCCGCCTTGGTGCGGACGAAGTACTCGGTGGTGTCCTCGGGGAGCACAAAGTCCATGCGGTGGAGGTCCTCGGCGGCCTTGCTCGGGGACAGCGGCTGGAGCAGGGGCGAGTGGGAATAGAGTGGGGTGCGCAGCAGGTCGGGGCTCCCCGGCTCCGGGCTGGCCTGGGGCGTGACGGGGGCATTGTTCCAGAAGAAGCTGGACAGGAGGTTGGGGCTGAGGGAGGCCAGTTCCCTGGGGAAGGTGACATAGGACAGGGTCTTAAAGAAGTGCAGGAAGGAGATGAGGCACAGGCCGGCCATACAGAACATGAGGAAGAGCTTGTAGCGTCTCATCTTCATCCTGCGGGGAGAGGAGAGCAGGTCAGGGTCTGCATTCCCGGGGCAGGGAGCCTGAGACCCTCCTAGGAGCCGGACCTGGCCAGGCCTTTGCGCCGCCGTGTTTGGGAATGCCCGGGCCACTTGCTGGGGATCCTGCTTGCAATCACCTCCTGCCCCCCCCAGGCGTCAAGCCTGTGGGTCCACCTGCTGAACCCAGTATCTCCGGAACCCCCAGTATCACAGAAACGCCCCTCCTGGTTTAGGACCTCCCTCTGCTCCCTCAGTACTTCCCACATCCAGCCTCTGCAGCCCACCCGCCCCGCCCCGCCCCAACTGCACCAGCTGCACTGCTCCAGGAACAAAATGCATCCTGGGAAAAGCTCAACCCTGAAGTGCAGCCCCCCTGGGGGCTCACGGGCCCCAAAGGAGCGGGGAGCAGACTGCAGACTCCGGGCCCCTTTTGCACTGCCCCGGGTGAGGTTCTTGTTCTTTCTACCTACTGTACCTTTTCTGGTGGGATAGTGACTAGTCTTTTGAATGCCTTTTCGCTGGAAAAAAAAAAAAATCACAGGTCTCAAGGGATGACATTTAATTCTAATATATTTAAAGAATAAAGTTAAGTAAAAGTTCCCCTCATTACTGTGCCTCACACTAGATTGGTCTCCAGGCATAAATAACTTCAGCTATCAGAGGTGTATCGCTGGCTTTAAGATGCGATTTTTCTGTTCTTGGTTTAATAGTTTTCTTAAATACTGGACACTAAGTCCAATCTAATTTTTTTCTCAATCAATAATAAAGAGGTTTTCAGACCCGTAGAAATAAAGCTACCATTTCCTTTTAAATCCCACATAATATTCCATGGTTCTTTTGAATGAATCACCCTATTCATGAGTGATTCATGAATATAACCATTCTCTATTTACACAGTCTAATTTATCAGTTCGTTATGGCTGTGGAGGGCCTCCGAAGAGTATTTTTTACAATGTAAGCAGACTTTCTCTGTTAGAGTATTTGTAGTTTATCAGAAAAGTTGCCAAGATGGCACAGAGAGTCCCCTTACACTCCTCACGTCACCCCAGGGCCAGCATCCTCCATCACACGTACGTTTGCCACAGCGAGTCGCCCACCCCTGGCTGGGCAGTGCCTGTGTGTCAGGTCCAAGATGTCCCATCTCGTTCCAACTTGAACGCTTGCCCTTCCCGGAGCCTGTCCTCAGGTGGCTAGCACAGCGGACTGCAGGCAGGCAGGACAACTGAGGGGGAGAGGGGAGCCCCTAACCTCTGCTGAGTGTCAGCTGTCCCAGGGCAGAGGCAGGGCTGGCCGCCATTGGCCTTCGAGAAGGCGGGGGGAGAGGCTGCTCCTTGGCAGCATTTGAAGGGTGTCTTCGGGGTTCACAGTGGATTCCAGCCCTGCTCTGGGGAAGCGGAGCAGGCAGACCAGCCAGCAGAATGAGTGGAGGGGCAGTGGGGTGAGGCCCAATAAAGGCAGGCGGCGAGCTGTTGCCATGGCAAGGACCGGGTCAAAGGCAACTGCACATTGAGGTCAGCACAGCAGAAGCCTCCTGAGTGGCCCACCTAAAGAGTTCAGGGACTGGCAAGGGAGCCCGATGGCTCCGGCAGACTGTCCCCTATTTGGGACCTGCCTCTGCGGGCACACCCCAATCCCTGAGCTGTGGAGAGCAGGGCAGGACGGGGCCAGGACTAAATCCCGGGGCAGCAGTGAACAGAGGCCTTAGCAGGTCAGACACTCAGGGAGGCAAGGGAACACCCTGCTCTTCCCCAAGGGGCACTTGGACCCCACGGAGGTCACAATGCCCAGCTCCCCTGCCGGCCTGACTTTTAGGCTCTGGTTACCGGGCCAGCTGTGCCCTCCCGAGGACAGACACCAATGCCTGGGATCCATCTCCCTCTGGCTCCGGAGCCTTCAGAGTGAGGCCCCTTTAAAAGGTCCCAGCCTCACTGCTGCCGAGAATCACAGAACTGAGCACGTTTCCCTGTCACTCGGCTGCCAGGAAGCTCAAACTGCGCAGAGGTCAGCTCGGAGCAAGTCAGTGCCTCGTAAACTGCATTTTCCCGGACACCTTCACTCAGAGCTGCTGGTATTTTTTTAAAATATGTTTTTATTGATTTGAGAGAGGAAGGGAGAGAGAGAGAGAGAGAAGCATCGTTGTATAACAGAAACACCAGTCAGCTGCCTCCTGTACATGTCCCAACCGGAGACTGAACCCGCAGCCTGGGCATGTGCCCTGACCAGGAATCAAACCAGAGACCTTGTGGTGCCCAGGACGACACTCAGCCAACTGAGCCACACCCGTCAGGGCCGAATTTTTAAACTCTTATTCTTCCTGGCCTGACTCCTTGTTATAATATCTATCCTCGTGTGTTTCCATAAGTGCTTCAAATAAGTTTGTTTTTAAATCTTCACCCGAGGATAGTTTTTCCATTGATTTTTGGAGAAAATGGAAGGGAACAGCTGGGAGGAGAAGAGAGAGAGGAGAGAAACAATGATGTGAGAGAGACACATCGATTGGTTGCCTCCCGCATGCACTCTACTGGGGGCAGGGAACAAACCCGCAACCCAGGTATGTGCCCTTGACCAGGAGTTGAACTCAAGACCCTTGGGTGTGCAGGATGATGCTCTAACCACTTACCAACACTGGCTATGGCTTCAATACATTTCTTTTTTTAAAAATATATATTTTGCCGAAACCGGTTTGGCTCAGTGGTAGAGCGTCGGTCTGTGGACTGAAAGGTCCCGGGTTTGATTCCGGTCAAGGGGATGTGCCCGCAACCAAGGCTCTCTATCTCTCTTCCTCTCTGTAAAAAAATCAATAAAATATATTTAAAAAAAATATATATATATATATATTTTTTTTTATTAATTTTTTACAGAGAGAAATAGAGAGTTAGAACCATCGACGAGAGAGAAACATCGACCGACTGCCTCCTGCACACCGCCCACTGGGGATGTGCCCGCAACCAAGGTACATGCCCTTGACCGGAATCGAACCCGGGACCTTTAAGTCCGCAGGCCGGCGCTCTATCCACTGAGCCAAACCGGTTAGGGCTTAAATACATTTCTTGACTGAGAGGCACGGAAGCTGGAGTGGAATAAAAAGCCCTGGGAACGAGGGTCTCCCTCAGTCCCAATCACGCTAAAGGTGGTTGTGAGGGCTTTGTTTTCACAGACGGGGAAACTGAGACTCAGAGCGCTGATGAGCCTTTCCCCAGTGACACTAAGTAGATGGTCAGGAATGAACATAAGTCATGCTCCCAAGCCAGTGCCTGTTCCCTCCTTACAGCCGAGACGGTGTCCCTCCCCAGCACAGGTGGCCATGGAGCCAACTGGGCCCAGCCAGCAGCACCTGCGTCCACTGCAAAGCTTCACCAGAAACCATCAGGTGTAACCATAAAGCTCAGTCACTGACACAGCCCAGCTGCTGTCCTAAGCACGTCCAACACACAAGCTCACTGAATCCCCCCAACGGAGCAGGTCCCGTTGTCATCCCATTTCACAGGTGAGGAGACTGAGGCCAGGGTGATGCTTAGGGTCACACAACCCATAAGGGTCAGACTCGATTCGGGGGGGTCAACAGTGGGATTTAATCCAGTGGTAAAGCCATCCTGAGCCCCTTCCATATGCCAAGTTCAACCCAAGTGGGTGACAGGATCCGACGAAGTGTCCACTGTTGACGAGGGAAGACAATCGGTGCCATCACCCCTGATGTCCGTCTCCCGGAGGCAGAACTGCACCCTCACCTCCTCGGAAGCACCTCGCTGCTTCCAGGCGCACATTCTGGAACCAGACTGCGCGTCCCAGTGCCGTTTCTGTGTAGCCTCGGGTCGGCTGAAAACGTTCCTGCGCCTCCCTTTCCCATCGGTCCGAGGACACAGTAATAATCGCACAAAGTGCCACACACACCGAGGCTCCATGAGCTTCAGCTCCTCGTGCTGCTACTGCTGCTCCCCAGCCCGGCAGGGAGCAGAGAGCGGAGCGCGGGGAGCCTGGGGCGGGGGAGGAGCAGCTGGCAAAGGCTGTGCAGGTGCGGTCCCGTCTCAGAGCAACAGGAGCAGAGCGAGGGGCTTAGCAAGGAGCCAGGCCGGAGCTCCAGGGAACGGAGCGGCTGCCGGGGAGCCTCCGTAGAAGGACCCCCCACATATCCCGTGAGTTGCTCCCAGCCCCAGGGGCTGGGTCTCCTCTCTGAGTGGGTGAAGGTGGTGGGGATGGGCCGGGTGCTTCCTGGTGGCCAGTCCATCATGGAGGAGGGAGCCTGATGCTGACCCTGACCCAGGATGGCAGCAGGACCAGCCCACCCTGGGCTGCCGCCTCCTGTGCGGACTCGCAGCCTCACTGGCTGTGCCCGCCGGGAGGCTCCCAGCTGGGTAGATTTTCTTCCTTCCCCCGTCTTCGCACTGCTCCCCTGGGCTCCCCTGGAAGACTGATGGAGTGAGGGGGGAAGCAGATGAGCCCAAACCCCATGACACAGTATGATGCAGGGTGGGGCTCAGCAGAGTCCATTGGGGACTGTGGTGAGAGGAGCCAGATGCTCCCTGGAGGCGGAGGCTGTGACCTGGAGCTGGCCAGGCGGGCAGCAGCCTCCGGTGCAGACAGCCCGGACAGCTGTCACGGGTGCTATCCATGGTCCTGAGCTCTCCTGCGCTGGCCAGGGTCCTAGCTCAGTCCTGGGAGTGCCTGAGGCGGTGGCCTCTGTGGTTCAGCAGTTCACGGCCACTCGTGGCCACTCCCCCCACGGGCTCACTCCTGGCCCCCGTCCTCACCAGCCTGAGGAGCCTGATGCTGGCGTCCTCTCTGGAACAGCCGTGGGCACTCAACGCCTCCGACTGGGAGAAGGGGCCCTGTGGTCTGTGTCCAGCAGCGGGCAGGTCCACCCCCTGGTAGGTGCTCAGGGGTGTGCCCATCAACCCCCACCCTCGGAGCACTTCGAACAGGCCCTCGCCACCTCTCCAAGAGTTCACCTGTCTGAAAGGGCATCTTGATTTGCGGTGAGGTGCATCATGGCAG